TTGTTGTTTTAATAGTCGATTTTCATTTTCAGTATAATGAAATATTTCTTTTAAAATTTGATAATTATATTCTGAATGTTTTAAATTTTGATTTAATATTTTAATATTTTCTTTTATTTGTTGTGTTTGATAATGATATTGTTCTAATAATAAATTATTTTGTATAAGAATATGATTATTTTGTTTTGAATTTAACATTAATTTTCTAATAATTATTTTATATTGATTAATTTTTGTTTCATTTTGTTTTAAATTTAATTCTATTTGATTATAATTAATTTCATTTTGTTTAATTTGTTTTTGATAATATGAAATTTCTTTTGCTAATGGTTTTTCATCACTAATAATTTTATATAATTTTTGTTTGATTAATTGAATTTTAATTTTATTTTCATTAACTTTTCTACGTTGATCATTTAATTCTTCATGTGTTGTTAATAAACAATTTTCAAGATCTTGTAATTCTTTTGTATGAGAATCAAATTGAATTTCATTAGAATTTATTAGATAATTTTGTTGTTTAACTTGTTCACTGAATTTATTTATTTCAATTTTTGTTATTTGTAATCGTTCTTCATTTGCTTGAACTATAGATAAAGATAGAACTTTCTAGCAATTATAAGGATAACTTACAATATGATAAATTGGTTTTGAAATGAGTTTTTACCTCATTAGATAGATAGGTCTATTGAAGGTAGAGAATTCTTAGAACAATTTGTACTTATGCGTCTTGCTACTTAGATTATGATTATTTTAGTGAAGTTTTTATACAAAATGCTATAGTCTTCGATAGATCACTTTCAAAATCGACGTTCGAGTTTCAACAGAGGGAGAAATAGTCAAGACTTCAGTCTTTAAGTCTGCTGTTTCTCCCTCGGTTCCAATTATGTACAAATAGAATTCTCAATCTATGGGAAAGTATCAAACTTGCTATGATCATCAAGTTTGAGAAATCTATATTGAAACTTTTTTGCTGATGTTTGAGAACCTTGTTTGTCAAAAATTTGAACTTGAAACTCGTTACACTGATCTATGGAAGACTCACTAAAATAGTTATCTGTCAAGAGGGGAAAGACTCATGGACGTGAATCATTCTAGGCATTCTCTATTTTCAATAGGCCTGTTTAATGAAAAAAGACGTGTTCCAAATCTAAGCTATCGCTTTGCTAACTGTCCTTGCTAGACAAAATTTGGTTGAAGTTATCGATAATGCTGATTTCGCATATGAACATGAAAAACTACTTAGATCTTCTAAAGCTGACAAAAATTTTCTCAAAATCGTTTTTGATCTACTCAGATTATAGAGCATATTGAACTGCCTATAAGTCAATAATCTTTTCTGGCTTCTATAAATGAGTTTTAAGTAGAATAATATCATCTTGAAGATTTTTATATTGAAATGTCGATTTGTATCTGTCGTATGAATTAAAATGACTGTATTTTCTGCTAAAAATGACGATTAGAAACAGCAAAAGTTACTGTTATCTAGGCAATTCGATATGCTCTATAATCTAGAGAGAGTAAAACATAAAGTTTGTTAGCCTAGAACACCAGCATATGAAAATCTAAAGATATTTCTCATGATCGATAGCGTACAAATCAGTATCTTTCTGTGAGAAAGCAATCGATCAGTTGAAAATGTTGCCTCGTCCGTAGAATTAATGCATGTGAATTCTTGTTAATTATTCATCTATACTTTTGTTTTTTAAAAGTTTGCAATTGCATACCTATTTTTTGCATAGATATCTAAATGTCAATATCAATCACTCTCCAAAAAATCTTATTTAAAGTATAAACTAACAGTTTTCGTTTTCCGATGAGGTTTTAACAATTGTGGCATCAGCTTAAAACAAAAAGGTAACTTGATATTAGCTAAAGTAACTCCAGGTTTCATTTCATGAATAGAGAAATGATCGATAATTCTATGAATCCGTTTTTTACCCATATTTTCTTTACCGAAGGAGCGATTTCAATAACCTGAAACCCTGAGAGGACAAATCCGAATTTCAGAGAGTCATCATCCTCTCATCCAAGAAGGGCTTAAACAGTATAACATACACTCTGACATATGGGTTACTTAATATCATCAATGTCTTTGTTCCTCTTATTCACAGTAGTCGTAAAATCCAGAGAAAACCTCAAACTTTCGCCTTGATCTGTTTGAATTTCGTTCTCCTATAACATCAAATGCTTTTACGCAAACATGCGTTTAGTGTAATGAACTTGCACGATTTTCCATCACATCAAATTGGATGAAACTTCCACAGAAAGTCTTGATTTATACAGCATTAGCGTGAAATACCCACTGTACCTCTCGACTCGTTTGCTAGACACACATCACGATTATGAATGAATGTGATTGTAGTAGCAAAGATCGAAATCGATAGAATGTTAAGAAAAACTAGGAAAGGTATTTGAAATAATAGAAACCTTTCAAACTCTAATAAGTACAAATTAGAATAGAATTAACTTGTTTTTTGTAAATTATTTGTAATATTATGTTGTTTATTATGATCTTTAGATAATTTTCTATATGAATATTGTAAATTTTGAATAGTATGATTTGAATGAAAAATTTCTTTTTCTAATAATTTTTTTTTTGAATTTGATTGTTTAATAATATTGATTAATTGTTGTTGATGATTTAATATTTGATTTTTTTCTATTTCAAGAATATCAATTTGTTGATAAAGTTTTTGACGATTTTTATTAAATTGTATTTGTTGATTTTTTAATTGTTGAAAATTTTCATTTTGTTGTTGAAAAATTTTTTTTAAATTTAATATTTGATTTTCATAATTAGTTCGATTAATAATATTTAATATTAAATTTTGTTTATATTTTTCTAAATTATTTTGATAAATAAATATTGTTTTATGATGAATTTCAATTTGTGTTTGTATATGAAAAATTAATTTTAATAAATTATGAATTTCATTAATAAGAAATTTATAATCATTAAGAAATATTTCAATATCTTTTATATTTAAAATTAAATTATTTATTTTTTTTGATGATTGTTCATATATATGATTATTAATATGTTCTTGATTATTTATTTTTAATTTTATTTCATTTATATTTTGTGTTATTTGTAAAATTGATGTACGAAAATATTCAAGTGTTAATTGAATTTCTTTCATTTTAATTAATAAATCACCATGTTCTTTTTCTAATAAATTTAAACATGTTGTTTGTTCATTTTTTTCTATTTGAGCAAAATTAAGAAGTTTTTCTAAATCTTCATTAATTATTAATTTATCATTTAACGTAGTACCTATTGCTGTTTCCAAGATATACCATAGACGTGAAGTATTTACTCGAAGAATCTTTAAATTAAGAAAAGATAGTTTTATTAGAATAAGATTATAGGAGATAATGTGTTCGACCACAGATCCAAATGAACTATGGGTACGAGTTCTGTTTTTGATTCCATTGGTTTCAATGGCTTCTATATGAGCAAAATGGGACATACCAGTTTTTTTAGCATAAGTATATAAATAAAAATGTTCACTCTTTCAGCTGACTATTAATAAAAAAATAATTAGCGAATAGCTCTCTAATCATAGAAGAAAAACTTCGGAATAGACTTAATGACACGAGCTACATCGCTGATGAAATTTTCAGCAAGATCGAACTCCAAAAAACTTAGAGATCCTGAAGAGGAATTTTTGCGTTTGCATATTCATACTCCGTCATGTCGCTAATGAACCAAAATATGAACTCCATCAATGTCCGACCTGTGATACATTTTTTCTAATAGTATCATTAAAATTGAATAGTGAAAAACCTTTTAAAGGCGAAGAACCATCTCGAAGAGATTTATTGCAACTTTGATATTCACCTGAAGGATATGCCATGTATTAATTTCTTTATTTTTAACATCAGTAAGTAATTGTGTTAGATCATCAAATTTAGTTTTAAATGTCGTTAATGTTATTTGATCAATAGTTCTAAGCTCATTAGCATAATTAAGTTTAGTATAATTTATATCTAAATCTTTTTTTAAACGTTGAATTTCTTTAAGAAGATATTCTTGTGAATATTTTAATTGTTGACCTGAATATATATCGAATTACAAAAAAAATTATATTTCTATCTAAATTATTAACTAACCAATTTGTTCAATTTCATTGATAATATGAGTTATATCAATATTTTCAAATTGTTGACAATTTCTACGTAATTGATTTATTTGATTATGAAATTCTTCCATTTTCAAAAATATCTTGACGAACAATAATTTTATCATATAATAGGCGCGTACACAAAAAAAAAAAAAAAGAAATGGATATTTTACAATTTGATTAATAGTCAATACCCATGAATTTAAAAGCATGAGTTAATGTCCAAAGAGGACCAATTAAAAGAAATTGTAGATCTTTAAAAAATGCTGGTTTTTTTCCTTCAATTTCATGTCCAATAAATTGTCCAATCCAAGCTAATATAAAAATAATTAATGCTATACGAAATATTCGTACATGATTTTTTTCCAATAATATTAATAATATTATTAATATTAAAAATAGTAATGTCATTGTTATTGCTAATGTAGATGAAAGATTCCAATAGAAAGCAATTATAGGTATAATTATAAGTGATGGATTAATTAGACCAACTTGATCAATTGATATTATATGACGAATATTTTTTGGTATAATTGGTAAACACCAAAGCATAGCAATAACAGTTATTGTTATTGTTGGTACACATATTTTATGTATGAGAATATTAATTGAATTTTGATGTGATTGAGAATATTCATCAAGCCAAGCTATTAATTCTTCACTAGGCATCTAGAATAAATGAAAAGAAAAAAAAAAAGAATCTCATATATCTATTCATTTATTTTTGAAAAATAATAACATTTTTTTAATTTCATCAATTCTTTTTTTTTTTTTTGTTTTTGCTTAAATATAATAAAATAGTAAAAGAATCAAATTGAAGTTTATCTGACACACACACAAAAAAAAAAAACATATCAAAAACTGTTCATAGGATTATTCATATCGATGTCTACCACGCTTTCTTTTTGATGTATTTCTAAAATAAAACAAAAAAAAAGAATTTCATTTTTGTAATTTTAATTATAAGAAAAGAGAAGTTCATGAAATTTGAACTAGGAAGAATTTTAAATAGCGAATCCAACAAAAAGACATCTAATCCTATTTCATTTTATCTTGCTTTTTAATTTACTTTGGTTTAGATCCAGCAAGATGCTGTTGTGGATCATATTTAAGTACTAAATCTCTTGTTTCAGGATGTCGTTCAATATAAACTTTTTTCGCTTCTTCATAAGCTAAATGCATTTCTTCTTGATGTAATTTGACAACATCTGTATTAGCTCCACATTTTTCATTATTATTAAAATGTTCATAACCATGAATAGGTTGACGACAAATATAACACATTGATGCACCACAAGCACATGTCATTTTATTACAACCTAATTAGTTAAAAAAAAACAAATGCAAAAATAAATATGTTTTTTTTTGTTTTTGTTTCTATACCTTCAAGTTTATAAAATCGTTGTTTACATTTATAACAAACTCGAATCATTGCTTCTGAAACACGATTTTCAATAAATGTTCTCATATCTAATTCATCTTTTTTTTCAACTTCATCACATCGTAATGGTATATGATTTGGTTCACCACAAGCACGACATGTTTCTTTTAAACATTCTTGATTTAAACATCGAAATACACGTTCATTAGGATCATCGATAACTACAATATACAAATCAATAAATAAACATGTAAAATATCATATGCACTCATAAATAGAAATGTTATATAAAATCATTTGAAGTCAAATAGATCAATGAAGGAATCTCCGTAGATGTACCATTCTGATTTCTTGCCTATAGATACTACACATAGCAGACCTTGAAATCGGGGCCCGAGCTCAAAAGAAACTTCGTTTACAAATATTTTCTTTTTCTCAATAGACACCTATTCCATATTTTTCGGCTTTTATAAAAAGTAATGACCAAGGAGGATAGCGTGGAGAAGTTCCCCCAATCTCCCCTCAGGGGTTAGCCAAATCTCAGAAAAAGGATAAAATCGTCGGGCTCGTTTCGAGGCCTGCTACATAGTGTTCTAATATAAACTGTAAAACATTTTGATTCTTTTCTGAAAATAGAGTTGTGTCAATGGACATATTTTCTTATGTGATATCTTTTCTTTCTCAGTGTGCTCTTGTACAATCAATGATACATAGTGGTCATAATCGCGTTACTTATACATTTATCTATGCATGGTTGAACCTTGTTCTCATTCTATATTACCATTCACTCGTATATTATATGTATTGTTACTCTATTGTTCTTCTATATCTGTTCTCTCCTTGGCCTCATCACTTGTTCATTCTTACATTGTTCTCTCCTTGGTTTCATCATCTCTTATTCTACTCGTGTATATAAACGCGTGCTTTACATAAAAACGACGCGATTGTATGATATGAAGGATTATAATAAAGTGTAACTCTATCTGCACTAACATACCTTCTATCATAGATCGTCACAGTTGATGATTGATGATATGAAGAAGCTCAATAAAGCATAATTCCATCAGTATTAATACTTCTTCAATCTGAAAATCGTCACAAGAGTTGTGACTCTAAATGCTCTAGTCCGTTCTAACACCAAAGAAAGTTGTTTATCTAATGTAACAATCAAATTTTACAGTGCTGGTCAAAAAATATAACACTAACGTATATTTGATTTTTTTTCCCCACGATGTCGAGCATTTAGCTCAAATCTAAATAGTGTTTTAAATACCTATTGAAGTTCTCTATCAAATGCATTCCATATCGAAATTTCAGAGATAAACTATGAGAGATTGTTTTCGGATCCTTGAAGATTGTATGAAAAATAGATTTTAAGAGTATCGTCTTAAATTCTGAATACAATGAAGGGTTGTCGCATTTTCTACGATCTTCTCTTAAAAAGTTATAAACATACCAATGTGAAATTTATCATAACATTGCTAAAAACAAAAACGTTGTTTTTTTTTTTGTGATACTTATAACTTTTTAAGGGAAAATCGTAGAAAATGCGGCCACCCATCATTTTATTCAGAATTTTGCACTCTTTAAGCCAGTATTCTTAAAACATATTTTTCACATAGTGTTCTACTACCACATTTGATTTTCCAGAAGGGAGGTCAGAATTTCGGCTCGGGACAAAACTCATCCCACTACTCTTCATAAAAAATAGTCTAACTTCAATGAATAATTAACACATTCTTGTAGTATTGAGCAGCACGGCATAATGCATAGCAGTGTAATTTTAGATCACATTATAGTTATAACATCCTGCTAAGCATACTGAGTGTAGATCTCTTCACAACTTCTATCAATGCCGACATTCACACTATGAAGTATACTAACTAGTTATAAACGTATAGCTTTTTTTTAAGGGATTGATGAGGTGAACTTTAGGCTCAAGTCGAAATTCATGTAACCCTCCCACCAGAAACCTTCTTTTCATAATCCATCTATGAAATTTCGACATAGAACTATATTAGCTATTCAAACCACTAATATTTATATTTGAGTTAAATTGTTGGTATCGTAGGAAAAAAAACCCGCCCTGATGATCAATATTGAATATTCTTAATAAATGAGAATATAATCATACTTGTTCCAAATGTACAATATTTGCATTGTTCAAAATTAGGAATATTTGCTAGACGTAATTCTTCTTGTTGAATTTTAATAAGTAATCGAGAAAGAAGTGTTGGTGAAAGTAAATGATTCATTAATGATGTTGAATATTCATATTTACATGTTGAATTTAAACATGTAAAAAAACATTCACCATTTGATATAAAACCATTTTCAATATAATTTCGTATACATGTTCTATTTAAATATAGAAAAAAAAAAAAAAATTTTCAAATGAAAATTCAAGTTTATTTCATATTAATATACAGAACAAAAACAAAACATATCTTATTTTCTATACAAATTAAATCGAAATAAACTTAAGTTTAAATCAAAATAATAATTAATTATAACTTACTGACAAAATCGATGATTATTATCACAACTAATCATATCATCATCAAGTAATTGATCATCACAACAACAATCACATGTTTGTAATGTACCATTTTCTGTTGCAATACGAATTTGTTCATCACGAAATTCTTGTTTTCGTGTTAAATATTCTATATTTAAAAAAAAAAAGTAATCAAAAAAGAAAAATTTCAAGCAAGATTAAAAAACAAATATTCAAACAAAAAAAACAAAAATTTCTCAATGTGTTTGAAGATCTCTTATATAATAAATAGTATCATCTATTTTTTCTCGTGTATAAAACATATCTCTTGATATTGTTCGTACTATAGGATCTTCTTGACAAAATTCTACAAAATTATTTAATACATATGTTGGTGGTTGACGTGTACGTGTCATTAAATCAACTCCAGCATTTGTAAATAATGTTGAACTAAACATTGTTCCTATCCATTGATAAGGTTGATCAATAGGAGTTTCATTATCAACAAAAATAATACCAAATTCACTTGTAAATAATTTTAATAAACCATTTCCTCGCCATTGAAAACGACTTGATTTAGATATTGATTGTGTATCAATACCACGAATATCTGTTGGTACAAAACCTCTAAATGGTCGTCGAGTATAATATTCAACAAGATCATTTAAACGAAGACGTCCATCAGGTAATTGATCATGAATAGAATATGTTATTGTTGGTGTTAATTTATCTTTCCACATATCAAGATTTGTTGCAAGTATATGCCATAAACCTAATGCACGATTAGGATCAAAATCATTAACACTTGCAGTATCAATGTCTTTAGATGACATAATGATTTCTAATGACGTAGAATGAAAAACTGATTGCAAATGTATCTATCTCGTGCTTGTTTTTTTTTTTCTTTCGTTCTGTTAAAAAAACACACACGCACACGCATACGCCTATTGTCGACTGAAACATACTCGGCGTATTTTTTTGTTGTTTCATTACTTACCTATAATTTCATCCTCATGTTTGACATAACATAATTCCTAAAGAAAAAAAAAAAAAAGCAAATAATTTATTCGAAAATAAAATAAATTATTTTAAGATACGGGAAATCCAAAAAAAGATGAGCATGTATTTTTTTTTTCGTCGACTGAGAAAAAATAGCATGTCGAATTGATTTAAAACAAAAGCTGATAAGGATTTTCACGGATCGAATTTCTTAATTTCCTTAGTAGAGAGTTCCAAACTCTACAAAAAAAAAATCCTTGTACTTAGCGGTTAACTTTTGTTTTAAATCTCATCAAATTTCATAACTGAATAGTATGTTCAAAGACGATTGTTCGAAACCATCACGCTATCATTATAAAACATTTTGAAGATGTTTTTTGAGCTTAGGATATCCAAGTTCAGTAAATATCTATCTAGGTTTTTTTGTTAATTATTGTAGATAAACTTATTATCTCATCTTATTTGATAGCAAAAAATATGTATCAGATTTATAAAAAGTTTATTTCATAGTTGAGAAACTTCACTTTTACTGAAATTTTAGCTTTTCTGTGCGAAATTAGTTCGTATTTTGATGTTTCCTCAGCATTTTTCAGTAAAATCAAGATTATATTCGGAATCAGCATCAAATGAAGGATCAGAATTTGGGTTGAAAACACAAAGTTGTCTAATAATTGTAAAAGTCATATATCATTTGATTTAATTCTTAACGCTGATTCCGAATATAAACTTAGTTTTACTGAAAAATGTCAAAATACGAGCGAGTTTTGGGTAGAAGAACTAAACGGCGACTATAAGGCTTTGATCCTAGAACGGGAGATGTGTAGGTTTTTAGAGTTAGCCTTCCTCTACAAATCTACGCATTTCCATCAATAACTACTACGAAATTTATAGTCGCCTTCCGGTAAAAGTGAAGTTTCTTAGCGATGAAGTAAATTTGTTTGAAAATTTGATATATATTTTTTCTAGCTTATTGTCGAGATAACAAGCTTGCTTTCAACAAAACGTCCTATGATCTTCTCGAGGTGCTAAAAATTTCGCAGTCATCTCAGCATAAATATTTAGAATTAGTTTTTAATATGAAATCAGTTTGAAAACATTAGACAATTCAAATTTTTAGGATTTTTTGACTTGAACGCATAACAAAAAGCAAGTGTTTCTTTTTCAACTTGTGGCATGTCCTTTTTTCAGTCGGAGAAAAAAAAATCTATACTCATTTTTTGAATTTTAAGCATCTTACTTTATAAAAAATTTCATCTGGTATATCAGGAATTGAAATTGGAGCACGAGCTCTATGATTAAGTCGTTTAAGAACAGCTAAATAAATAAACAAAAAAAAAAAAGGAAAACTTTCTTTTCTTCACAATTACCATCATTTGATTTTTTTCCTTGTTTATTTTGATTAATATGATATGTTTGAAATTCTTCTTGTAATTGTTTTATTGATGGTGCAAAACGATAATTATTATTTGATAATATTTGTTTTATATAATCAATTGATACACGTGCAAATGCATTAGCTAAATAAATATATGCATGTTTTTTATATGATTCTGATAGATTTTTTGTACGATCATAAAAATATTCAAGTGGATTAGGAAATGTTTTAAGAAATTCATTTATTTCAAATTTTGGTTCACGTAAATTTTCTTTTAATCTTTCATTATGTAAACGTTCTAATTTATCAATTAATTTAATATAACCATTTTCAATAAGACTTGTTATTAATATATTTAAATCTGTTTTATCTGATGATGTTTCACGATATCTCATATAACATTCTAATGCATAATCAGGATCAATATCAGGTAATATAGCAAGTAAACGATTATATTCATCAGGTATAAATATTATATCATCAATAATCATATCATCATATGATCGTTTATTTATTGAAGGTTTTATAAGATTATATGAAAGTAATTCATTAACAATATCATCATACCAATTTGGATTATTACTATTTTTAAATTGAATATAAATATTTTCAATATAATCATGTGGAATTGTATTAAATACATCATAAAGTGTTTTAAGTGTATCATCATTAATTGTTGTTTGTTTAGGTGTACAACTACTAGATGAAATTATTTGTTCTTGAATATCATTTGTAGTTTGTCTTGGATCGGTTACTTGACCAAATGATAATATTTCAGAAACAAAATGTGAACATATAGCTTCAATTGATGTTGATTGTCGAATATGCCATCCAATAAAATCAAGAGGAATTTCTATTTCAGGAAATATATCATGTAAACGATCACGAATTAAAATGACGGATGGATGCTACAAAAAAAAAAAATAGAAGAAAAAAGTTTTGTGAAAATATTTTAGATTGATTGAAAAAATTAATAGAAATAGAATTTCATCATTTTAATATTTCAATAAAGTTAATTATAGAAAGTTTTATAAATTTCTTTATAAAAAATTTAAAACAAAAATTCCAATCAGTATAATTTTCTATCTTACAAAAAAATATTTCCATAATAATGAATTAAATATTAAGATTAATTTATGAATTTAGGAAACTTTCATTAATAGTATTTCATTGTAAAGCAAGTAAAAGAATCTCATAAAAATAAAGTTACAGGAACCCATCGAATTGCTCTCGAAATTGGTCCAAATTCGAAGATTTTGCTCCCAATAGTTTCTGTTCGTCTCAGAAATGTGCAGGATGCACTACCCCCTTATATTCATCGTTCGGTATATTGAAAACTTGAAGTTTATTTACACATGGATTCGTCCAGTCTTTATTTATGTTTCAGGATATATATCTAAGGTCCTATTTCTATGGAATGATAAGTTTCAGATCTTTAGGTTAGAGATTAAGCTTTTTTCATATCTTGTTTGAGAAAAACTTTTACTCTTATTCTATCTTAAACTCTATATCTTAACTTCAATCGATGATATCAAATGAAAATATTTCAAATAGAATATTTTCTAATTAGAAATTTATAAAAAAAAAAAACCAAGATAATTAAATTTCAAAGAATGAAGTTATCTTACAATATTTGCATCCGCCATTATGAAATCAATTTTTTAAAAAAATAGATGTTGCCAATTGATTTTGAAATCTGCAATGAAAATATTATCATTCATTAATATTTATTTTTAATTGTTAAACTAACTTATACCTAATGTAGAATAATGGAATTGCATCATAGTTGTGAAAGTCTTTCAATATTTCAAAATCGAAATGGTTGTTACAATTGACAAATCAATGTTATACTATAAAAAAATTATATAAAGATGGCAGACTGATACAGAAAAAATATTTTTAGCCATGTTAGTTTAACACATGCCATCTATTGTTTACAATAAAATAGTTACGATTTAATCAAATTTCATATTTATATATATATTTAGAATTTTGATTTCTGAATACAAAATTACAATTAAATAATGGAAATTTTGCTTTCTTTTGATAATGAATATTTCTATGATCATAACAAAACATAATAATTTATTCATTTTGGAAACAAATTGTTTTAGTACAAACACTTATTTTGTAAAGCATAATCCAAAAGGAGTGTTGAAATATAGGGGTAGACATTTACAGCCTCCGTAGAGGTGACATACATCCTTAGCAACGTCTCTTCTTCATCAAAGATCGTGCCAGATACAACCATAAGGCCGTGACAGACACTGCTGATTTAGTCTCGTACACCTCTAACCATGAGACAATCGTTTAACTAATAAATAAGAGCTGAATGATCTTCCGGGATCACCCATTTTTAATATACATTCAATATTTCTTTCAAACAACATACAGGATGTCCAAAAAAAGACCATTGTAAAAAGAAACATGAATATCTTTTAATCTGTATTAGTACATCTGTTGAAGTTTTATTCTATAGATTTTCCGATAGACATCTATGGTTACGTAATATTAGAATTTTTTTAAATTTTATTAATGGTCAAATTTGAATCACGTATAGTTATGAAATGAAACATCAAAGTGAGTTTGACATACAAACATAAGGCGCATAGATAGCATTAGAAATATTTTTCAACGCTTCAGTGAAATTATTATGTTCATAATGTTTATAGAAAAAGCCGCTATTGAATATTTCAAGTTAATACAACAACTTGTTCCACTTTAGGAGTAATCAGACACAGAAGTTTTGACTGCAAATCTTTCAATGAAGATACACAAAGTCTAATTTGTTCAACAACTTCACGAAGGAAGTCTACAAGATTAAGCTATGGTTCGATGAGTTTTACATCAATATTAGAGTACATTAACAATCAAGAAAGTTCTTCGTTTGTCGGATGAAACCATTCCTATTTAAATAGTTTGTTTATAAATATAAAATGAAAACTAAGATGTATGCCACACGAATACAAATCTATGGAGAATTGATAAGTGAAATACATTAATTCACAAAATAAACTTTCTGTAGTTTTTTTCAGATATAATAAATAGTTCTGTGAAGTAATAGAAATGAAAACATAATTCAATAGTTCATAAAATAATAGCAACAAAATATTATTGCAATATTTTACTAATCTTCTTAAATATTGTTTACTACATATAAGTTTGAATTAAAGATGGCCATATTTGTATTAAGTTGGTGATGCTAGTCCTTCAATTGTGATGAGAGTGTGACGTAGAGAAGTTCAATATCTATACTCACATTCCATAATCGAAAGCGTGTTTTTGTTTTCTGACGTTTCTACTGATGGTAATGTTTGTTTTAAAAATTATTGGATTGTGTCTTAGTTTATAAATGCATCGATGGACTTTTCTTGTCTATTATGACTTGACAAATTTCAATATAATTGATGGATATTAATTCTCTTCATTGATCTATAGTTATACTTTTGAACTATGTTATAACCTTTGTCAGAATTTATCAGAATAACAGTTCATTTGACATCGCCTCTAACCCGATTGCATAGATCAGAAGGATTACAAAATAATTATAATGTAAGAAAAATACTCATCGTGTCAAACTTCTTTCTAATCTCAAAATTCTTCACAACTCTATCTTTCGAAAATCATAATCTAATCTTTTTTAAATAATCTATATATATAGCATACCTTTACCTACCGGTTACTTTATTATATGCATCAAAAATCTTATTGAAAATAAGTGCAATCATTCTTAAGTACATATATAAATATTTTAAATATCATGTGGAATTAATCTTAAACTGCTAGTATAAACCTACATTTAACAAACATGAAAAACAAAAAAATAGTCCAAGTTTTGAAATTAGATAAAAGATGTTTTTTTGTAATGAAATTCAAACATAAAAACAAATTAATTTTGTTTTCTTCCTTTTTTTTTATGCAAGGTGCGTCGACATTTGTATATTTACAAACGTAGATTTTCATGATAAGATTTAATAGAATGTACTTTGCACTTAAACAAAAGACTTTATTTGTTTTTGAGGGCTATGCTTTCTATAGAAATTGATTGACGATACTTGAATAATACTGTTTTTCGGTTTTCTTTACCTGGACGGAATAATGCACCATTTGAAAGAGCAAATATTTATTCAAGACTTGTTTTTTTAGACACGAGTATTCTTTGGAGTTTACTTTATAGTAAAAAAAAAGCAAACTTTTTTATACATGTATTGACTTTGCATATGGATTATAAGCGAAAAATACGTAAGTTCAATTTTGGTTATATAGGAATTCATATTTTTCTTTTGATTATATGGAAACAAAAAAAGGAAAAGAATGTCAATAGGTCCTTAGACGTTGAAGCAATATGTAGTTTCATTCGATGATTATGTAAATTTTATTGTAGAAAACTTCTTATAGAATTGCCTGTTTGAAATCATTATCATTGCAATAAGACCTTTAATGAACATCGTGTATACATTATGCTTAATGTCTATATCATATTTTACAAGTGTTTTTCAGTTCTTCTTCAGAAGCTTTCATATGATTGGTCACAGAACGAAAAAAAAAAGTATACATATATATATATATATATACGTCGTGAAGAATGATAATCTACCGTTATTGTATGCAATGTTATTTACAATATGAAATAAGCTTGTAACAAAGATTGAATAATTCATTGAAATAGATGCTTATAAACATCGTGAATGTCATGAGTTTTTCTTCAGAAAATTTTCCAGTATCATATCAATTTTTATCTTGGTAATTTCTATTCAACTGTAATAAATGATTCATCCGATACGTTTGTGTTTTTATACTGTAATTGACTAACAGTTTGAATTTTATAATTGTACATAATTTGAATTGAGTTATTATTAATCTCTTTTGTAGTAATGATTTTGATAAGCATAAATCTATTCAACAGTTAATCACATTTAATATATATATAAAATATAAAGAATTTAGATTTGTAAATACAAAACTTTGTTCTTTATAGTTATAAATTATTTGTTCAAGATATAATTTCTAGGTATATAGACATTCTTTTTCTCAAATTTTTGTCTTAAATAACTGACATGTTTACTTTCTTATCTTATCTTATCATTTTTTTTTCCTTTTATTTCAAATGAAAAACATCAAACGATACAATAATGTTTCTTTTTTCCTACTATAGAAACCATACATGATAAGCTTGCAATGTCATGCATAGATAAAAACATCGTTTGAAAAAAAAAAACATGAAAGATAATGTAAATAGAGAAAAAAAAAGAGAAATATCCTTGGCTTGTGTAATTCTTACGTACGAATAAATAAAAGTAACAGAAGAAAGAAAAAAAAACAGAGGGAGGTTTTTTTCTTCGTTGTGCATCAATATCTATATAGAACATCAAGTCCAGGTGTTTTTATGTTTTTAGAAAAATTTGTATTAATAAAAGTTAAAATTTTGATTTAAATAATGAATAATCCAAATAGTAGTCAGTTTATCTTCTAAATAATAAATATTAAGAATTCGTAAATCAGTATGGTCTTTTCCCATACACGATTAACATGTAATATTTGATCAATCTCATCATCTACAATTTGCGTAGGTAGATTGCTATCTGCTATCAATATATATATATATATATATATGTACATATATATATATTTCTTTACTCGCTTACCTGGAGGTATACACGAATCTACCTCAAGTCTACATACGACTGATTGTCAATAATGATGACGCCAAGCATGGACGTTATATGTAGCCCCGGAAATTACTGCAGTTTTTCTAGTCGAATAGACATAGGCAAAAAAAACGAATACAAAAATCGTATTGGTACACGTAAGGTAAATAATATTCCAATGAGAGTAGTGAAGGATGACAACATATATATTTGAATAGAAAAAAAAGAAAGTGTAAATTGTGATAATAGACAGCAAAAATGAGGAGATTGCAATGCATTATCTCGTTTCAAAATCATCATATTTATTCATGCGTAAACGATATAAAAAGTAACGATGTAAAAAAAAAGCTTGGTCACTTTAAGAAGAAACTTATTCAAGAGAGAATAGAAAAGCAAGTTTTTTCTACACCATTTACTGTTATTTTATTATTACAATCCAATTGAAACGATTATTATATTTACATTTAAATTCGAATCATGTCAAACGGTAGGTTAAATAAATAACAAAAATACATCATTATGTAAACGAAAAATATCAAATAATATAATTTTATCGCGTTCTAAATGAAGTCGATTATTTGACTTTGTTGTTTTTCTTTCGTATATGTTTATAATGATTTATATAGCCCTAAATTTATTAATGAAAGAGAATAATTGAGTTATACTTTATTTTTTATTGTATTTAATGGAAATAAAATATGAGTGATAAATAAGTCCTATATAGTGCCTTTCTAATGCATTGGAAATTTTAAAAAAAAGACATCTTTTGTTATATTCTTTTCTTTTATACATACAAATTATGTTTACCGTAACATACTATGATTAGTCTATGACATAGAAAATAATCCAATTCAGGTTGTTTTTCTCTTTTATTAAACAACAAGAAAATTATCTTTGAATTAGAATAATGATTGCGTTTGACTATTCAGTAAAGAAAAACTATCTTTGATTTAATAGACAAAGTGTCTAGTGAATGATATGATAATACAAAAATATGT